GCAATAATTGCCTCAGAAGGAGAAAATATCCAAAGCTCCCAAGATTTTGAAAAATGGAAGATGGAACAGGAATTTAAATTGCAGGAGTTAGCTATGAAAAACCAATTAGAATTGGAAAAAGAAAAAAATCAGAGAACTTGAAAGGGAATTTGAGCAAGAAAGCAGGCAAAGAGAAATTCAGTTTCAAATTGAAATGAAGAATTTGGAAATAACTGCTCATCATCATCATAATTCCAGTGTGGGAAATCCCTCAAATATTGATCTAAATAAATTTCCCCAAAGTAGGAAAGGAGATTGTCCTGAATCTTTCCTGGTTTAGAGAGCTTGTTGGGACTTTGGGGTTAAAGGTGATGAGAGGATGATAATTTAAAGGTCACATAGGGAGTTTTATCTGAGATCTATTCACAGATGCCTCTTGAACAAGCTATGAAATCTAATAGCAGCTAACTATGAAATCTAATAGCAGCAAACTTACGAGATGGGTGCTGATTTGACAAGACTTTGATTTTGAAATCTGCAGTGTAAAAGGATCTTAGAATGTGGTCATGAATGCTTTGTATAGAAGGCCAAATGACTAGAGAAAATTCATTTTTTATTTATCTGAGTTCAATATTAACTGTTCTGTTTTTGTAATAGTTATGTGATATGCTTAAACTGCAAAATTTGCTTTTTGGATGTTAATAAACTAAGAGGAAGGTATAGTGATAGTAAAAATAATAGAAAGTATCCTTAGTAATGTAAGAAGTTAATATTTGCATTCGTCCATGAACCTTCATTTGTTTATGAGGGCAAACCATTAAGTTTTCCCTCCTAAAGCAAACTAATTAAGGGGGAGAGGAATGTAGCATTCACTCTGCTTATGGATATTTATATTGAGATTTGCATGCACCAATAGGAGTTGGTGAGAGGTGGAGTTAAGTGGGGTGAAGAAAAGGAGGGGAAGAGAGAGAAAGAGTAGGCGATTGAGAGTGAAAAGAGAAGGTTGTTTTAGTGGAAAGTTAACGACATTGGCTGGACTGTTCTCGCTTGTAACAATAAGCAATTTCTACTTGGTTCTTAAATGATACGTCGCCCGGACCTCTGTCATTAATAGTGAACAAAGTTGATGTAATTGATTGGTGGCAGCTGAACGACATGTAGTGTGCTCCTTTGCTTGGTGAAACAACCAAGGGCCTGGCGGGAACGTGAGGTGCAAACACAGCCTGCTGGGATTGTGGCTGCCATCTCTGCTACATGGCTGAAATGGATGGCATGGTGTGCCTCCCTCTCTCAGTCATATCCATTTCCACCCCTCCTTGCCCTAATGTTCTTTTTCATAGAGAAAATAAGCAGACAGGTAATGTCACAGAGTACGGCTAGTGTTGATTGTAATGTCTCTTTCAGGGCACAGGGTATGCCCAAATTGTTTGCCCAATATATAAACAAAGAAAGATAGGGGCCTTCTGCTTGTGTCTAGTAATTTGTTGGCTGAAATCCTGTTCACACAACTATGTTGTATAAGGCTGATGGTATGATCAACAGAAGCTATTTATCAGAAATTAAACACAAAGTATTTCTGTCCTATAGTTCCTATACTCCTTATTTGCAAACCATGACAGCCACAGAATGAGAGGAGGAAGTCTTTACCAAAAATCACCAATGCCAGAAATTATACCCTGCCACAGCATTTTTTGATAGTCAGACTCCCTCCTCCCATGCTTAGACTCCCATGGGTGCCAAATGATGAAGGGGATTCCATGAGAGTTGTGGGAGCCATGGGACAGAAATAGGGTTTCTGAAAAACCCTTTGCTGATGACATTATCAACCTTTCAGAGGCATAATTATGGAAGCAGGATTTCAGCCATTACACCTTTTATTGATGTGTTTTTAATCTACTTGTTTTTATGTTGCCTAGAATACACGGTAATAATTACACCTGCATAAGCAGGAAATTACTGCTAGTTAAGAAACTGGTCTAAATTATCCCGTCACTGTATGGGGGCTACCTGCTGCCACACAATCCCACAAGGAAAAGGAAGAAGAGGCAAGTGGGTGGGAAGACACCAAAAAATTGCAGCCACAGAGGTGGCCACAGCAACAGGAGCCACTGCACAACCCTAAAAAAAAGTAGAGCATCTATGCCAGGAAGTCCCTTAATGCTCTGCAGTGCAGCATCATTTTGGCCACTTTCTAACCAGCCTTGGGGGGGGGGGCTGGTTCTAAGCAGCATCCTTGAGCTATAACATTGCCAAAACAATCACCAATGTCATCCTGTCTTCCATCCTCCCCCTGTTCTGTTATAGTCTTCTTCTTCAACTCCTCTCACTTCTTCTTCTCAGCCAAGAACCAGATCTCAAACTCTGATGGTGGGTAGCTCAGTCAGTGCAGGCACTGGGTGGCAGGAGCACCCCAGCTCTTTGTTGCCTGAGATGACCACCTCATGTGGATACCTCCTTGTGCAAGGGATGAAAACGGTACATTGTTCATGATGTGCCATTTGTGAGTGTGATGGATGCCCCACGGCACACCTGTCACTCATAGCTGGAGCTCATTTGCATAAGCCTATGAGAGGACAGGAGGGGCGGAGACAGGGAGTCAGTTAAGTCAGTTAAAGCAAGAGAGTGAGTGGAGAGAGAAGGAGAGAGGTTTAGTCAGAGAAAGAGTGAGAACTGTAACTAATAAGGATAAACTGGTTAAAGTGAATAAATAAAACAGGAGGTGATTGAATGTGTGGCAGAATATATGATATTTCAATGATTTTGATTCTATGAAATGAATCAAGAACACCTGTGATTCTGAATTACCCTCATACCCTTTAATAAACAAGTTCTGCTGTTGGCAGCCAGTGTCAGGCTAATGTCCTTTACAGCAATAAACAAGTAATCCACTGGTGGCAGCGAAAGAAAGAGGGAACGTCACCAGCGTGAGCTCTTAGGTTGAGAAAAAGAAACAGGGGCACAGGGTGAATGTCGCAGTGAGACTACAGTAGTACCTCGGTTTACAAAATTAATATGTTCTCCGAAACGTTACGTAATACGGAAAATTCATAAACTGAAATGCAGATTGCCATAGGAATGGGGGCAGTGCCACAAACCTCCAGGCACAATGCATCCTGGGGAAACTTTCTTCGCAACCTGAAAAAAACTGGAAAAAAACTTAAAACCAGGCATTATTTTCGAAACTTTCTTCGCAACCTGAAAAAAACTGGGAAAAAACTTAAAACCAGGCATTATTTTCAACGGATTTCCATTCGTAAACCGAAAATTACATAAACCGGGGCATTCGTAAACCAAGGTACTACTGTAATTTGACTCCAACAGGCTCAGGCGTTTAAAGAAATTTATAATATTTAAAGCCCTGGGGAATTATTACCATGCCTAAATTTCCCAATAATATCTGCACAACCTGCACTGTACACAGTATAGAGTATGGTCATGTTCAAGGCCTTTAATGAGGCAAATGTATAGACATAAGGGAGTGTAATAACACCATGGGCACCCAGTGTGGTGTAGTGGATAGAGTGATGGACTAGGACTCTGGAGACCAGGGCTTGAATCCTTGCTCAGACATGGAAACTCACTGGGGGAGTGGAAGTGGTAAAACCACTCCTTAAATACCTCACTTACCTTGAAAACTCTGTTAGGGTCACTATAAGTCAGTTCCGACTTGGCAGAATGTAACAACAACAAATACCAGCATTTGTTGAGCAGTGGGCAGGGAACTTGGCCTTCTGAGTTAGAGGTAAGCAGGGAGTACATCTAAACTGCTGGTAAACCTCTGGGAGACTTGCAGTAGATCAGCAAACACTACTGAGTAAACCTCTGGGAGACTTGCAGTAGATCAACAAACACTTCTGACTCTAAACCATACAAGTATAGAAGCAACAAGATTATGACATCCTTTTCTCCCAGGTTATACTGAGATTCCTGGGCTTCCCAGTTAAACCTCTGGGAGACTTGCAGTAGATCAACAAACACTTCTGACTCTAAACCATACAAGTATAGAAGCAACAAGATTATGACATCCTTTTCTCCCAGGTTATACTGAGATTCCTGGGCTTCCCAGTAATATTGTGAATTGAGTTTAAAACCCCTGCTCTAAACCAAGTATAGAAGCAAAAAGATTATGACATCCTTTTCTCCCAGATTATACTGAGATTCCTGGGCTTCCCAGGAATATTGTGCAAAAAAAGAGAGGCCTTTGTATCCAAACAGATGTGCAAGCTCAAAATTCTTTCACTCTCTTTGTATTTGTTTGTTTGGTGAACTTTAAGCATTTGAACAAATGCAAAGGTGTTCCTATAGTTTGTAGCCTAGTCTCCCCTGACTGTCCAGGCCCTTCAAGCCTTCTCTAGATCCCCTTTGTTTTCTGTATTCATTTGGGATCTGTGTTTTCATCAACAACTATCTGTATCATCAGGCATAGGGCTTAGGATTCTGTTGAACAGAGAAGAAATGCTTTAGGACAACAACTAAGCCCAAATTTTAATCAGTTCGGTAATGGAAAGAAACCTGGAAAGTTTTGAAAGGATTTTCCTTTAATTGACCTTTTTTTCTTGCAGTGAGGATCATTCTTTTTCCATGTCTGTCACTGAAATGTTGGCATTTGATTCTTAAGCAGCTGAAGAAAAGAATCCACATATTGTAATATATGTAATTGCCATTTCTGAAAGCATGACACAGTTTTCCACAATGCAGTCAACTTGGAATGAAAAATTAGTTCCAATAACAGTAGGGTCCTCTTTCAGGAGGAAAACATGTATACATTAATTCACAACTTATATGCACAATAAGGAAAGCTTTAGTGATCCCACGTAATTCTATACTTTGTTGTAAGGGAAATGTTAAAGCAAATGCTATAATATAGACAAACGTTAAGGCATGGTGAAGAAAAGATGAAACAAAAGAAAATACATTTCATAGCATATTAGCCCCAAAGTTTCTTTTTTCAGACAATTAAAGACTGTATGCAATATTGCTGTGAAAACAAAAATATACATTCTGTGTCATCCTTGGTCCACTCCAGAGGTCTTAAGATTTGTGGTAGTAGCAGGTGCTGCAGTGGCAATCCGTGTGATTTTCTATCTTTGTGTTTTCATGGTGCGGAATAGGAGCCTTGGGAAAATTTGAAGAAATTATATTTCAGAACACTAGAAATGAAGAGTTAACATTCAAATAAGATTTTACAGCTAAGTTCTCTCAACTACAAGTAAAACCTCAGTCAAGGTCACCTGAGTTCTAAGCTAACTCTACTGATATTTTCACATGAAGTATTACGGATTCAGTACAGCACTTGTGGGTACATTCAAACTTAAAATGCAGGAGGGCCCCTGGAGGACCAGGCCTTCAAAGACATTTTGAAAGTACATTTCGTGAGGAGCAGCTCATCGCAGATGCAGCAAATATGTTGCAATGTAGAGTTAAAGTCAGGCTCTTTGGCTATGTTCCGAAGATGCCGACCACAGAGACTGGAGAAACGTTAGGAAGAACAACCTTCAGAACACGGCCAAAAAGCCTGAAAAACCCACAACAACCAAAAAATTTATTTACTTTAGCAGGACTTAATCCTGAGTAAATATATATCGTTTTGCAGATTTTGTGGAGACATAAGACTAAGAAGACATTTACAAGCATACTGGCTCTCCTGGTCAGGGGAGTAGGATTGCAATAACCTGTTGTTCACTTTTAGGACATGTAGCAAAATGATGTAAAGGCCAAAAGTTACCCCACTATGAATTCAGATTAGAAGTAAATTTTTAGAGATGTATGAAATGAAGTTCAATCAAGAAATTCTCCCACCCTCCAGTGAATTTCCTTGGCTCAGCACGGGTTTGAATGGAGATCCCCTGAATCCAGTCTGTCACTCTTACTGTACTAGCAGCTATTGTTTTTCATTCCTCCTTTAATCAGGACAGTTCTATCCATATTTACTCTAAAATAAACCCTGTTGCAGTCAATTAGTCTTACTCCCAATATGAAAAGACAGAAGCCTTACCATTGTGAGACCATTTATATTTACGGGTACATAAAGTGATGCACTGATCTCAATTCACATAGCCAACAGCATCCATGTTCCCTCTCCAGCCAAGTGGAGCACTTTGTTCTGTGTACTTTGGAATAGCAGATCAAGCCAATCTCCACTTTCAGGTGGCATTCTAACCAGAGGTGGAGGGCCTACTCACCCACCAACTATGAGAATAGAGTGCTTTGAACATGTGGCTCTGGCACAGGCTGGAAGAATGAGGGAGGGAATCAGAGCCAGAAAAAGAGAAGGGGTACCTCCTCTAAGTTTTGGTTATGGTTCTCTTCCATTGCCAGATTAACCACTCGACTGGCTTTCCCGTCGGTTACTCACACTTTCTAGAAAAAGGTTTTCCTCTTAATGATTTGAATTTAGATGATCTCAACTGCAGTTGTCAGTAATTTCTTGTGTGCTGTCTGGTCTTTTCTGATTTATACAATTCTGTAAATCAATGATTTCCCAAAGGTACTATCATCAACAGCCTTGTATTGTTGAGTCCTTCTATCACATATTACGTCTTCCTGTTTTTCTATTGCCTAATATTATTGTCTTTTCTAGATTTTTGTATTCCCATGGTATGTCCAAGGAATGATAGCCACAGACTAATAATTTTAGCTTCTAATCACAGCTCAGGATCAATTTGATGCAGAACCCACTTTTTTGCCTTTCTGGAAATCCATGATGCTAGTAATAACCAATCCATCCCTGCAGATTCCAGAATTATTCTAAAGCAGGGATCTTCAAGCTTTTGAGTGTGAGGGCCACTTCTTATATTTTCAGCATTTTTGAGGACTGAAGGAACGTGCATGCACACATATGCACAGCCGGCTCCCTGGCTCCCTGCATGGATGCCCCCCTGAGCGCATGCACACATGCATGTCCCCCCATGCATGCACACACCTCTCCCTGTGCACACAGGCTAAAGGGAATGGGCCCGATAAAATGACAAGGTGTGCCAGATGTGGCCCGCGGGCCATAGTTTAGAAACCTGCAAAACAAATCCCATACTGTTAAGTACAGCCCTTACCTCTCTGAATGATCTTGCAACACAGCATGTTGCTTCTGATGTAATGTTCTTTGGGACTGGCATTGTCTTCTTTGACCTCATGGGGGTGGGATAAGCCCTTGAGAAACAACATCCTACACACTGGTAAACAGGTCGCCCATTAAACAATCTTGTCATGTGTGGGTTCAGACTTAATTTGCATTCAGCACATCCTACCAGACACAGAAAAAGAATATATTTTTTTTTCATGTATCACAAACCCAGCTTCTATAGCATTGGCATGTCTAAGTACATCATTAATTCATGAATGGCTTACAGAGATGACTGAGTATCCAGTCTGAACTAACCAACATGAAGGAGGGCTGGCTGAGCTGATATAAGCCAGCTAATGCTGGGCTGAGTCTGAACTTTTCCAGTCTACCAGTGTTGGAAATTATTTAGGATTAACCTGACCTTAGCCTACCACTTTTATGACAGCATAGTGGCTGTAAGTTTGTGCTGACAGAGATTTGGATATGTGATCATTCAGCTCCTCCTCTGCTCCATCCTTTTTGGGGGTGGGTGAGGTTTCTTGTGCTGATGGATTTCAGCCATCACATAAGTAGTGCTGGTAGACCTATGTGGGCTAACAAATCTGAATGGTCACCTTGTGCTAGCACAATAAGCATCTGTCCATTCCAAATTTATTATAGCTGGCATATTCTTGGTTTTGGACTGCACTACTCCTCCTGAATAACTACAAGTGCTGGAATTGTATTGGTGATTTACAAACATGTAAGATAAATCATCTAAGCTGTAGCAGCAGATTGGTGCCATTTAACAAGGTCCCAGTCATATACCTGGTTGCCTGCACATCACACAATATGACCAGCCCCTAGTTAATTAGCAGCAGTTGGCTGCCATGACTTATGCAATTTTGCTTACCCATGCATTAACCACCAAGAAAACGTTCCCCAATGTTATTAACTTGCAGTGCTGGAAGCTCCTTACTTGGGAGCACTCTCAGCTGGAAACCAAAAAATAATCATATTCAAAATCACATACCAAATGATCATTTTAAAGCTCAAACATATAGAGATGGATAATATGCATCTCACTTGACACTAAGATTCTTAATCAGCAATATAGCCTATCCACTTTTGGTTCCAGAGTAACTGAATCAAGGCTGCAGCTATTAAATTCCCATATTTGGCAATACTAAGAGATAGTTCTTTTTCTTTACTTGAATACTCTTCAAAGCTGGCATGCAATTAAAAGGCCCCTGCTAAAAAGAGAATTCAGCTAGAAACTGGAAGACATTGTTGGAAGGATTTGAAATTTGGTTATATCCTTTTTGGTGCAAAGAAAAAGTATGGAGAGTTCTGTCCAGTCCCATTACTTGTCTTGGAAAAGGAAAAACTATCAGTCTGGATGTGTCTTGGTTATAAGGAAACTAAAAGATCTTTTACTTACAGCGTTCATGGCTTTGTTCCTTTATGTAGATAGCATGGAGCTATTACATTGCCACATGTCTATCTTTGGAGAGCATAAAATGGAAGAAAGAGGAAAGGCAACCAACAAAGGAAGCAAGAGAAAGGAAGGGGTAAATTCTCAATCTTGCATGCAAGAACCCCCTAATTCTCGTCTTGACTTGCAGGTTCTCAGGCTGGTCCTTTTCTAATGGTCTGGTCAGGATATTTGTTGTCATCTCTGCAGTAGGACAATAGAGCACCTGGATCTCTTTCCTGTTTAGGTCACAAACCAAGCAGTATCTCATGCATTCATCTTTCCCCTTTGTGACAGTTTGATGCAACTCTTGTTATTTTTCATCATTCACATTTCTTCATCTGTTCCAAAGTTCTTTCATAGATTCTGCAGCCATAACACTTTTCTGAATGCTTCTGCCACATCTACATTGTGGAAGACAGTGCTACAACATCTTGTTCAAAATTTGCCCATGAAATACGCCCACCTCCATGCAGGAAAAAGAGTTCACCAGTGGACTTGTAAGGTGTGCTATCCATTTCCAGCTTCTCTGTGCCCTACACATTTGGGGTGCCTGGTGGCAGGTATTCTCCATGGCTCTTTTCAAATACTTTTCAGCTACTCTTTCAACAGCTATCCAGTCACCCAGTGCCAGTGAACTGACATTTCTCCTCAGCATTCCTACAGCTATGCCAGAATCTATCTAGTACTGATTGTCAGGTACAGGCATTTTCCTGTAACTCTCCTATACTTGCTGTTGCCTTCGATTGAGGTGATAGGACCCATCTGCTTCTTTCTCGGTTTGAATGCCTAAATAATACGCTGCATTCCCTAGTTCCTTTATTTCAATTTTGTTAAGGTTGTGTACAGCCTCTTTGTATGATTGATCTCTCTGGGTTGCAACAACCAGATTTTCAGTATAGGTCAAAATGAATGTCAAATGTTAATTTCTGCTTCTTATACACAAGCACTAGTTTGCCTCACCTTGCTGTAGCAAAATGTTGTTCAGTTTTTTTATTACAGACTCTGGCAACTTGTTTGAGCCCATATCTGCCTCTCTTTAGTTCGCTTGCTACAATTGGTTACTTGTAATTGATGAGGCCTGGTGTCTGCTCCACGTACAGGTCCTCTGCAGTATCTCCATGTAGAGATGAAGTCTTGACATATAGGTTCTTCACATGTATTAGCCGAGAATTTTAATCTCTTTTTTGAACCACCCCAGCCCCAAAAACTCTTCTTCCATTGTCTAATCTCTGTCTCTCCTTCTGTCTTTGTTCTAGAACTGTCAAATGCCTGGTGCAACAATCAGCATTTCTATTGGGAAAAATTTGCATTAACTTAAAACATTTTCTGGAAACACTTCTAGTCTGATCCAAAGCCATCACTGCTTTTTGATCACAATGTTTGTTTGCTATTCTAAGGAAATAAAGGGAGGGGGAAAGAACCTGTCTAGATGAGTATATAGCTTGCTATTTGAATTGCTTTTGGTGAAGTTTGGTTCAAATCAAATTACGGTGTCCACAAGTGTTTTGACTTGGAGTGCTCCATACATAGGTCTTTTTTAGAGCTGTCCCACTCCTTTCTTGCACAGCACTAGGGCTTCAGGGTTGTTGTTGTTTTGTTTGTATGATTCAGCACATTCCTAATTATCCCACAATGTAGTTATTTTGTAGATGGTTAGTTGGTATGCAAATAGAGTTGTGGGTTGTGTTATCTGACGCGACAACCCCGTGATATATTAGGTGGGTTGTAACATTTTAATGGACAACAGGAAAACCCCACTTCTTTATTTTCATTTTCTCTCCCACTTTATTTTTTAAAAATATGTTCCTGTTGATACGGTGATATTCTAGATAAATGAGATACATCGGCAGTATTAAGTGTACCACTCTAGGAAGATCCAGAACAAATTTAATGCGAAAAGCAATTTTAAAAAATGAATATTTTGCCATATATGGTACAGAGGAAAAAAACTCATAATACCTTAACACTTTTATGTTATTTTATAGATTTCCAGACCAGGAGACACTATGTGAGAATTATTTGAGAATTTATTATAAGGGCACACAGGTGGTAGAGATTTGACTGGAACAGTTTTTTATTCAGATTTATATAATTAGTGGTCTTAACTGACCAGATAGGTGGGATATAAATAAAATAAAATAAATAAAATAAATAAATTAAAATATGAATTGGCTGCCTTTTACCATCACCCATCCTCAAGGGGTTTCCAACATACAGTATGAACTTACATTGCTTAACAATCTATTAGAAACCAGAAGATAATAGAATAATAAAAATTAATAATCAACAAAAATTAGCAATAGTGCTAATCACAAGTAATCTCCAGCTTTCATTTCAAATACAAAAAGAATCTCACCCTGCATGCTGAAGTCCCCATCAGGTAATGAATGGAGAATATTAAGAGAGAAAGACAACATGGCAAGAGTGACAGCTGCATACTTTCCATAGTAATCCATCACTCTCCTGCAGAAGAGGGGAAAACAAAGGTACAAAGTATATACAAAATAAAAACTGGCAACATACTCATCTCTTATGAAACATCCTGATATACAGTGTCAGGAATAGGAAAATGAAATTGTCTTATTTTCTGCTGTTCTTTAGGACTTCAAAGACTTCTCTTTCAGAAACCTTTTTAATTCTACTGCTCTTTAATTTGTATTATAGTGTATTAACTGGCTTTTCATTTTTAAGAATGTTGGTTCTATTATAATGTTATTTATTACTTTTTTATTAATTTTTTAAATAGATTCTATTAGTTGCTTTCAGTGCTTCCACAAGAAGGGGGAAAGCGCTAAAAACATTTAAGATCAACAAAGAAATATCTATTAGCCCTGTAACATGTGAAGCAGCTCGAAATGCTAATTATAATTTTCATTATAAGTACAATTCTCCGAGGGCCTAGTTCAGACAGGAAAACACATAGAATATTACATGAACTTAATATATATTTTATAGGATCAAGGTACAATCTAACATCCTGCTCAATCATATTTCTTGCTAAGTAGATGCAGTTATGAATGCATGAGAAATTCAAAATGACGGTTCAAACTTATAAAGACCTAAATGGCTTGGGTCCAAACTATTTCAAGCATTGCATCCTCCTTTATGAGCCTGGCCAGGCTTTAGGATTATTAGGAGAGGCCTTTCTTCGGTCCCACCACCCTCACTGGTGCACTTGAGGACATGGGGATGGGCTTTCTCTGTCTCTGCTCCCAGATTTTGGAATTCCCTCTCACAGGAGGCCAGGCTGGCCCCTTCTTTGCTGTCTTTCCACAAGCAGGCAGACCTTTCTCTTCAGGCAGGCTTTTCCCTAGCGATGGGCTGCCTGAGTGGGGTTTTTTAAAACACTGTTGTGCCTTACTGCTTTGAACGTATATTTGGTGTTGCATTTGTTTACTGTTTTTTCAGAGTGGTATTTGTTTGATCCTTTTTAGTATTTGTATTGTTTTTAGTTTAAATATTGTCTTTTAATGATGCAAGCCTCTTTGGGTCCTTTTTAAGGAGAAAGGTGGGGGTAAAAATAAGTAAGTAAGTAAGTAAGTAAGTAAGTAAGTAAGTAAGTAAGTAAGTAAATAAATAAATAAATAAATAAATAAATAAATAATAGGGCAAAGGGACATAAACAGCAGATTATGAAGTCAAATTAGTGTTGGCTGTTGGGGGAGGGTAGTAAAAATGTAATTGTGTGCACACAAATAATTAATTAGTAACATTTCAGTAGTGAGTAATACAACTCAAATGAAATCAAGTAGGTAAGTAGAACCATGCACAAAATATGAAAATAGAAGGAAGAAAATAGTGCATGATAATTCAAATATATAAAGAAAATTATGTATTATATTGTCTAATGAGCTGATTGTTATTTCTTAAAAAATATTTTTAAGAACTCAAGTGAGCAACAGTAATTCGAATGTAAGGTTTTCATTTTCTAGAAGACCAACATTCAGAAGAGGTTTTATTTTCTGCCCTTTTTAAAACCAACTGTACTGCTATCAATAATTTATGTGGAATCCTATGTACAATTATCAGGGAGAAAGTCACACTCCAAAGCCCTTGCAAAAATGATCTAGGAACAATTGTCATCACAGTAACAATCTTCTTTAATTCTATGTATTTATTATGAAGCATCCGCATTAAGCAGTTTTGGCATGCGTCTACACATGTGGACGCTTTTTTAAAAAAGAGATATTATACATATTATAGGAAAACAAAGCAGAATATGTCAATGGACATAGATCTGAACCAGTCTTTGACTAATATACTTGCTTGATACCTATGTTTCTTGCATGAATAAATAACATATATAGGTGCATGATATATCTTAATTATAATGTGTGGGCCATTCCTAAAACACCAAGGGTTGCTGATTTTTTCAGTCACTGTCCACCTGGATTGCTGACATTTTCTGATGCCAAACACAACAGTTTTAATTCAGAGAATCAAGACGGGGATCCAAAGAACAATACACGGAGCACTACATGTACAGTAGAAACAAAGTTTTCTCATTCACTTTCCACTGCAACAATTTGTATCTTGAAAAAATCTGCTTGTGACTGTCAGGGTAGCCACCAGAGTGAGAGGTTTAGCTAGGGGGCTGCAGCTAGAGAGCAGCAATCTGTGGAAATCAAAACTCTTCCCCTCGTTAAGCAGAAATGTCTTTTTTCTGTACAAAGAAGACATTTCTGGATCCCTGCCGAGGAGAGCAAGAGAAGATTGCCCACCAGAGCTTGTAAAAAAAAAAATTAAGACCTCGACTCCCAGGATCCACTCCCCAGTGAATTTGGCCAGAGATGTGTATCTGGGGAATATAGCTGAAATAAATAATTTTTCCAGGCATTGTTCCATGTTCATTGCTGTACTGAGGGAGAAAGGCTGAAAACAAGGATGCTAATGGGATAATGCACTTGGTTCTCTGTTGATTCTCCTGTCCTTAGGAGACTCCTCCAGACAGTAACATATTATATTCCTACAACAGCACACAAAAAGAGAAAGCTCAAGATTTTAAAAACCCTGCTGAACATATTTATATTAGATTCTAAACCATGGCTCCTTTTAGAAACTAAGCTACAATGCATACAAAAAAGGCATTAACATTATTGCATTTGAGGACGGAGCATGAGGGGGATCCACGTGGCTTGCAAGGGATCATCTCTAGTGACCCAACGAAATCTTAGGGCTTGATCACACCTGCCAGAGGAACCCCAGTTCTACCAAGCTGGCTGTTTTTTAGATTGTTTCATAATTTTCCATTCACATGATCCACCACCAACTTCAGTTCATTTGTCTCAGCAAGCACTGTATTTCCCCCATGCCAGGAGGGTGGTTTTAAATTGTAGCAATGATGAATCACGTCATTCCTAATAGTTTCAGCCTGTGTGAACATTGCTGTCGATGCATTTCCTTTGCAAAGGGGTCACGTTCCTGGGTGAGGTCGCCACTTCATGGGTACTGCATGTGGATCCCTCTCTTTTTTAATCTTTTAAAAGGCATCTTGCTACATTGTGAAGCAGCTGCTACCCCCTCCCACCCAAAAAAGGAATACATTGCTCAGAAGCACCCTTGTGGGTGGGGAAAGACAGCTTCACAGGAAAAAAAAGGGGGGCATTTCCGTCTTGGAATTTTTTTGAAGGGAAACAGAAAAATGCCAGGAAAAAAAGCAGAAACAGAAATACATGGCTGGGAAGGAGGAAACTGGAAGGAGACAGCCTTCCCCCCTCCCCCCTTGAGGGTGAAGGAGGGCTAGAAAGAGAGACATTTCCTGCTTTGAATTATAAAGAAAGGAGTGTTGCATTAACATCTCCTCTCTCTCTTTTTAAAACCCTGTACTTCATGATATTTTTCAAGTTTTTCAAAACTCACTTCCTCCTCTCAACTGGGACCTCTCTTATTGCACTGTTGATGTATAACTTTTGTTATTTAAAAACAAAAAGGACAAAGGGGGCACTGACTGCCCCTAAGAAGCAGTAGAGAAAATGAACTGATACAAAATTAAGAGTGGTTTAGCCTGCTATAACGGTTCCAATAGAAAGAAAGAAACGGATGCAGTGAAAAACCATGTGAACGCTCCTGCCAATATATATCTATATCTATATCTATATCCTGTGACCACTAGAAAAAAATGTATCACTACAACAGGTCTGAAAAGAATCTGTATAGCTGGGATTCTTTTCTCACTTGTGATTGAGCCCACTGCCTAGCAAAAGAATAGCAACATTTTGTTCTTTTATAAAGATTAAACTTTAAAGCAAACAGATATCAATTCAATCAATAAATCTAAACATTTTTAACAAATAATATTACCCTTCCTTTTTTTCCAAGTGAGGCGGGTTGATTAAAGGTCTGAAACAGGATTTTGAAACTGAGCTGCAGCGTGTGTGTCAGTGCTGAGACAGAATAAACTCTGTACTTTTCTTTTATACCTGCAAAATTAGTCTGTCATCTTCTACCTCAGTTTGAGCCAATGGATCAACTGTAATTTCTGCTCATTGGCTAACTATTGCTTGATGTAATTACTACTCCATCATACTGATGTTATCTCTTCTTTTTCTCTGAAACAGATCATTTTTTTCCATTGTAATATTACGGAAAGGTCAGACGGTAGGCACAGGGATCAGTGATGTTTACCATGCAGCTTTCCCTTGCATTTCCATCCACAGATTGCAGCCATTTTCAGTAATTACAGCCATTTAAAAAAGAACAACAACAACAGTGAAGACTGCTCTTTTTCTATAGCTTTTTAAATATTACAAAACAATCTTTTTGGTTCCTATAATCTCTTTCCATAACTGAGATCTTATTATTAGCAGAAGACTGGAGAATACAAATTAGGAGAGATTAGTAGCAATTATTAAAATGACAAATAATACAAATTATTAATTACAGTGGATTAAATCAACTTACTGAGGTGGCTGGAGAGCTCAGTGAAATGGAGCACCTAATTTTGGAGCCAGGAGGTGGAAATTCAATTCTCCACTGTGACTCCCAGAAGAAGAGCCAGACTGTATAGCTTTCCAGACCGAGCACCCCCAAAAGAATAGCTAAACCACTTCTGAGTACTATATATTTAGAAATCCCTAGAAATTGTTTCTTGCTTGCTTGTTTGAAATATTTTTACCCTGCCTTTCCCCTAAGAAAGGACCCAAGGAAGTTTACATCATTAGAACAATATTAAAGCTAAAAACAGTCAATTATTCAAACATTAAACAAATTAATAACATTATATTTAAACATGCCCTGAGCAGAGTGTGGAAATTTAGCTACAGTGGTGCCTCGACTTACAAACTTAATTGGTTCAGGAAGATGGGCATAAGTCAAAATGGGTGTAAGTCGAAGCACCATTTTTCATTGGAATGCATTGAAATGCAATTAATCCATTCCGGCTGAAGAAAAACATCACCAAAAAAAATCACTGCAAGACCAGTCAAAAGAGCTACAAAGAAGCAGCCTTGTCACAACCTATAGTTAGAAATTTGAATTTCCCGCCTTTTTCCCCTGCCTGTTTCTGTTCATAAGTGGAAGCTCTGGTCACAAGCAGAAGCAAAAGTTTGCGGCCAGAGCTGGTCATAACTTGAAATGGTTGTAAGTAGGGGTTCGTAAGTCGAGGCAGCACTGTATTTTTAAAAACCTCCAAATATGCAGTGGATAAAAATTCAGAGACCTACAGAGCAGAATTATCTTTGAGTCTCCCTCAGACCATCCCTTTTTGATCAGTTTACCTCAACTGGCACTTACTGTCTCAATATTTCACTCAGAGACTCTAGTAATGAATTTAAAAGGTTCATTTTACTCACAATTCTTCATAGATTAAAACAAACAGCATTTCATAGAAAATATTGACTAGTTATGTCAACTGAGCATAACTGTTTAACTCACCTTATGATTGATTGACTGACTGACTGACTCCATAGCTGATAGAACACTTCACTCTGTCTTCAGACTCCTGACTGGAACAAGGCAAGAAAAGAATTCTTAGGTAGAGAGGTGTAGCTCTCTTCAAACTTTGAGGCAGAGAAAGAACAATTGACTGCTACTGAATTGATTTACAGCAGCCCTTGTCCAGAAAGGTCCTTCTGAGCCAAAAACACTTAAAGTCATTATATGAAGGTTGCAATATTTTTTTAAAAAAAGTTTGGTACAACATTACTTAAATACATTTAAAAGCAACAAATACAAGCCATGTCATTTTCAAACCTCTTCTAAATAGTCAGCCATAAGGAAAAGCTAGTCTGAAAAGAAGGGCAGCAAAGGTGGGGCCAGCCTGGTCTCCCATGGAGAGAGAGTTCCAGAGTTTGGGAACAGTGGCAGAGGTTATCTTCTATGTCACCACCAAGTGAGAAAGGCCCCCCCTAATGATCTTAATATCAGGCAGGTTCATAAATGGACAGATATGGTATTTGAGATAGCTTGGACCCAAGCTGTTTAGGGTTCTATAGGTTAAAACCAGCACCTTAAATTGAGCCCGGAAATGGATTGTACTAGCTTTAATTGTGCAAAGACAGTCCTGGTAACTGCTGAAATGAATATATGTACTCCTATATTTGTTTCTAGGGTCAGAGACGAATATAGGAGTACATACAAACTGTGCACATGTATTGCCATAAGGTCGAACTTATCTGACGGCACATAATTAATTCATTAAAAATCCACTTGTTATTTCCAAATAGAGTAAATAAACTGAATCAATGAGGCTTCTTAACTTGAGTAGGTGTTTAGGTTTGATTGATTCAGTGTGTTTACTCTTTGTTGTTTAGTTGTTAAGTCGTGTCCAACTCTTCGTGACCTCATGGACCAGAGCACGCCAGACTCTCCTGTCTTCCACTGCCTCCCGGAGTTGGGTCAAATTCATGTTGGTGGCTTCCATGACACTGTCCAACTGTCTCGTCCTCTGTTGTCCCCTTCTCCTCTTGCCTTCACACTTTCCCAGCATCAGGGTCTTTTACAGGGAGTCCTCTCTTCTCATGAGATGGCAAAAGTATTGGAGCCTCAGCTTGAGGCTTTGTCCTTCCAGTGAGCACTCGGGGTTGATTTCCTTCAAAATGGATAGTGTTTTTTTCTCTTTGCGGTCCAGGGGACTCTCAAGAGTCTCCTCCAGCACCACAATTCAAAAGCATCAATTCTTCAGCGGTCAGCCTTCTTTATGGTCCAGCTCTCACTTCCATACATCGCTACTGGAAAAACCATAGTGTTGACGATGTGGACCTTTGTCGGCAAGATGATGTCTCTTGCTTTTTAAGATGCTCTCTAGGCTTGTCATCACTTTCCTCCCAAGAAGCAGGTGTCTTTTAATTTGGTGGCTGCTGCCACCATCTGCAGTGATCACGGAGTGGAAGAAAGTAAAGTCCTCTAGGCTTGTCATCACTTTCCTTCCAAGAAGCAGGTGTCTTTTAATTTGGTGGCTGCTGCCACCATCTGCAGTGATCACGGAGCGCAAGAAAGTAAAGTCTGTCACTGCCTCAATATCTTCCCTTTCTATTTGCCAGGAGGTGATGGGACCAGTGGCCATGATCTTAGGGTTTTCTTTTTTGTTTTTTGATGTTGAGCTTCAGACCATTTTTGTGCTCTCCTCTTTCACCCTCATTAAGAGGTTCTTTAATTCCTCCTCACTTTCTGCCATCAGAGTGGTATCATCTGCATATTGGAGGTTGTTGATGTTTCTTCTGGCAATCTTAATTACAGCTTGGGATTCCTCCAGTCCTGCCTTTCACATAATGTATTCTGCATATAAGTTAAATAAGCAGGGAGACAATATACAGCCTTGTCGTACTCCTTTCCCAATTTTGAACCAATCAGTTGTTCCATATCCAGTTTTAACTGTTGCTTCCTGTCCCACATATAGATTTCTCAGGAGATAGATAAGGTGGTCAGGCACTCCCGTTTCTTTATGAACTTGCCATAGATAGTTGTTGTCGACATAGTCAAAGACTTCTGCATAGTCAATGGAGCAGAAATAGATGTTTTTCTGGAACTCTCTGGCTTTCTCCATAATCTAGTGCATGTTAGCAATTTGGTCCACTGGCCTTGTTGTTAGCCATGCTTTCTAAGGACACTTGACTTCACTCTCCAGGATGTCTGGCTCAATGTCAGCAACCACACTATCTGGGTTGTCCGGGACGTCCAGATCTTTCTGGTATAATTCTTCTGTGTATTCTTGCCACCTCTTCTTGATGTCTTCTGCTTTTGTTAAGTCCCTACCATTTTTTCCTTTATCATGTCAGTCTTTGTACAAAATGGTCCCTTAATATCTCCAATTTTCTTGAACAGATCTCTGGTTTTTCCCTTTCTAGTCTTTTCCTCTATTTCTTTGCACTCTTCATTTAAGAAGGCCCTCTTGTCTCTCCTTGCTATTCTTTCGAAGTCTGCATTCAATTTTCTGTAACTTTCCCTATCTCCCTTGCATTTTCTTTCCCTTCTCTTCTCTGCTATTTGTAAGGCCTCGTTGGACAGCCACATTTCGTTTTCTTTCGGATGGCTTTTGTTGCTGCCTCCTGTACAATGTTACAAGCCTCCATACATAGTTCCTCAGGCACTCTGTCCAGCAAATCAAGTTCCTTAAATCTGTTCTTCGCTTCCACTGTGTATTCATAAGGGATTTGGTTTAGATTACACCTGACTCCCCTTCATGGATTGCTGCCTCCAGAGCTAATGAAGTGATTGGGCCCAAGCCAAAATTGTGGTCAATTTGAGCCTGTTCAGCATCAGTGGTTGGTTCATAAACTTGAATTACTGTGATGTTGAAAGGTCTGCCTTGGATTCCTATTGAAATTATTCTATCATTTTTGAGATTGTATCCCGGTACAGCTTTTCCCACTCTTTTGTTGACTATGAGGGCTACTCCATTGCTTCTACGGGCTTCTTGCCCACAATAGTAGATATGATAATCATCTGAATTGAATTCGCCCATTCCTGTCCATTTTAGTTCACTGACGCCCAGGATGTCAATGTTTATTCTTGCCATCTCCTGTTTGACCACATCCAGCTTCCCAAGGTTCATAGATCTTACATTCCAGGTTCCTATGCAGTGTTTTTCTTTGCAGCATTGGACTTTCCTTTCACTTCCGCAACTGAGCGTCCTTTCGGCTTTGGCCCAACCACTTCATTAGCTCTGGAGCTACTTGTACTTGTCCTCCGCTCTTCCTAAGTAGCATGTTGGACGCCTTCCAACCTGAGGGGCTCATCTTCCAGCGTCACATCTTTTAGCCTTTTGTTTCTGTTCATTGGGTTTTCTTAGCAAAGATACTGGAGTGGCTTGCCAGTTCCTGCTCCAGGTGGATCGTGTTTAGTTAGAACTCTCCACTATGACCTGTCTGTCTTGGTGTCCCTGCACAGCATAGTCCATAGCTTCTCTGAATTACTCAAGACCCTTTGCCATGAC